TGTCTCGGTTAGCCGACCGCCTGGAGACTGGACTTCAGCAGGAGAAATCGTCAAACCTTTCCCCCTTTGACGACCGTATGCATGTATGCGAGCGGGCAAAGGGCACGCTGCCAGTGGCACGCAACAAATCGAGGCTTTGTCGTAACGAGAACAAGAAGGCAGTTGTTTCCCGTCCTGTAAGCATCTTCTGGTTGCACAGAGTCAGCACACATACAGAAGTGATTTGTCTTTAGGAGCCGTGACCAACTGCACCGCGCTCTGAGGCCGAGACGTAAGCAGCCAAGACACCGCCAGTGCCTTTGTCCGGCTGCAGGGAGGCTGCGCGCTCGCCCTCGCGTTTGTGTGTGTGCAAGTGTGTGTTTGTGTGTGTGTGGGAGACCACTGTCATTTCACTCCTCCTGGCAAGGATGCTGCTGAAAGGCAGAGGATGAAACGGCAGCTTTTTCTGCTGCGGCCTTCTCTCATGAGCTCGTCCTCTCTGTTCCAGGTATGCTTTATCACAGCTGAATCAGATGAAAAGGTTCATAACCTAGAGTTTCTCAGATATCTGTGCCTGTCTCCTCCATTTTTCCATTTTTTTTTTTTTCGATAAAACGTCATCATCAGCTGCTTTGAATGTTCTCAGGAAGCTGGACCGAAATGCTCCCCCCCCCCGCATTGTGAAAACCAATGCCAGCTGCCGTTTGTGAAATCGAGCTCGCCCGAGACGGCCGTCTGTGAGACTTCATAGATTCCTGTTTGCATAGACCACAAAATTGTGACACTCGCTACGTGCAATTTCAAGGCTCCGATAACAACGCTCCACTCTGGCATGAATCACAAAGGCTCTGCGAGTAGACGAGTGGTGGAAGGGGGTTTAACTTAATGACACAGAGGGGGGGGATTTTATGCTAATGGAAGTCTAAATATATCCCCTACTTTGTGTGGACACTCACACACAGATGCACAGACAGGAGCTCAGGCGGCACAGTGGGTTGCACTTGGAAAAGGATGCATGCACAGCTCCATGCTGAAAGGAACTATTTTGGTCTCTCGGTGTTAAACACGGACTGTGCAGAGGGAGGGGGAGAGAGGGTGGGATACTATTTAAGAAAAGTAATATTAAGCCTGGAGTCTGTGTGTGTGTGTGTGCGTGTGTGTGTGTACGTGTGTGATTGCACTTAATTTTATTGATGCAGTAAAGCCTATTACCCAAGAAAGGAGCTGTCATGGGAAAGGTGTCCTACACCCTCCCAGAGCCGGTCAGACTCAACCAGCCAGTTTTATTAAGATGGTTATCTGTCTTTTTTGCCCCGTGGGAACCTTTAGCTGTTTTTTTTTTTTTTGGGGGGGGGGGCTGCCTCATCATCAGAAATCATTTTACGCAGCAGATCATATAGAAATTTCAAATGTGAGCACTTTTCCTGAGTGGACTGAGACTCTGTTTGAATGTAAAGGCTAAAGTTTTTTTTTTTTTTTCCCCCTTCTCCTTTTTCTCCACTGACCTGATAGGCTGCCTGTGTGTGTTCGCTGCCGGTTGCGTATGTTTGCTTCTATTTGTGCCACCTGCCGTAGCGTGATGTCCGTGTCCCCAGAGGTCCGGCTGTGCTCCACTGCCGCAGCTTTGATTCGTCCGCCTGCTGTGCAAGCCGAGGCCCCATGTTGTGCGAAAGATGCTGCTCCGGGTAAAAGATGGAGGAGAAAATATCTCTCGATAAAGATTTACCGGCTGCGTTATGCCCGGATAGCGATACGCTGCTCCCCTCTGTGATTAAGAGTTGACTAGTTTGCTTTGTGAAAGAACTGAAGAATCTCACTTACTGGGCATAGAAACCATATGCCAGCAAGAATTGTGTAGGTCTAATTAGAAAATCTGCATGTGAAGTGTCCTGTGGTCTTTGCATTAAAACTGTCACTTAGAATTCTGTGAGGGTGTGAGGAGAACTGCGGCGTGATTCTCTTGCTGTGAGGTCCGTTTTGTTCCCCTCACATGTATGCAGACAATGGGCATGATCACTGTATTCCTCCCAATAATGAGCCTCAGGAAGCTGGCTTTTCTCTTTTTTTCCCCCCCCTCTATTCACAGCGACTTCCTACCTCCCCCTCAGCTCCCTTACTTTCCTCTGCCTGTCCTCTGAGTCAGTCTTTAATGTGTCTCACCAAAGCTGAGCAGAGCCCTTTGCCACAGCTGCCTGAAGGAACTGCCTGACAGCTTATTGCCTCCAAGCGCTAATCACTCACTGGCGCCTGCCAGCCATCAAAACATCTGCATGCCGTCTGCCTCTCTTCCGGCTCCTCTCTGATCCATATTCACAGTAAATTGGTCATCTGTAATGCTATTATCAGCCACTGAGATGAAGTTACAGCATGTTGACCTGGATGTGTGCTCATGCCAAGTAAACATCGTGTGTGGGATTTGTTAAACAGGGGAGGGAACGAAGCTGAATCGCATACGTTGCCTGGGCGAATGAAAAGTCCCCACCTGGATTTAAGGAAGCAACACGCCGTGTGGGTAAAACCCTGAAACATCTCATGGGCTAATCTGTCCAGTGGAGTATCTTCTCAAAGGCCCAGTTCTCCTATCGTCAATGCATCAACGTGTCAAAAAATTGACGCTGGTTTTATTTTTTTCAGTGTGGTTTGGTAGAACTTGCTAAAGAACAGTAACTTTCTTTTGTCTTGTTGAGTTGCTTCTCCCCCAGGTGCATGTTGCATTGGGTTTTCTTGCGGCCCATTTATCCAAATATCCAAAAATAATCCTTTCTTACTTTTTTTAAAATCTCAACTTGTTCTGCCGTCCCGACTCTCTGTCTTACGTTCTGAAACGATGAGAGCACTTTACCCCAGGGTGCGGTTGACTTCAGAGGGAATCAATAATGGAAAAGAGGATCCATTTATTATAAATGAAAAAACAACGCACTCTGGTAGAGAAGCTTGCTTGTTGCAAAGTGTTTGTTCAGTAATCGGTGATGGGCTGAGGGGAAACACATTCAGAGCCATCTATTAACAAAATCCAGAGACTGTTGACACCGATCTAGCTTTGCATGGGACAAAAATTTAAAAGACCGGAGCTGGAAAAGCAACATCAGACTTTTTGGTGATGGTAGAACTTTGCTGAAACATGCTTGCTGAGTCGGTAATGAACTGATGGCTGCTCGCGTCCCACAGTTCTCCAGTTTAGTGCAGAAATCATGTTTACTGTTGGTGGTGTGGTGTGAGGTTTCACTGTGAAGTCACACGTGTGAGAGAAATTTAGCAAGTCAGCTGACTTGCTGTCATAACAGCCTTACTCGGAGCCAAGTATTATCTCATCTCTAACGCCTGCCTGCGATGGAGCGTTCTAATGATCTTGTGTGTCTGCAGCGAGTGACTGCTTCTAATTAGCATCTCAAAGTTCATAATTCACATTGTACTGAACATCAGATTAATGAGTCTTTGCTTCAGAGGGCAAAATGACTCTCTCAAGTACTGTTTTTAAAAAGGTCCTCAGCCTGTTAAACAACGAACTTTTTTATGTTTGGTCATTTGAGCAGTGAGTGTGTGATTAATGATAACTGATGAGCCGGACGTAAATCAACAGGTCCACTTGTGGGTCTTGTCACGGTCAGTTTCAACCCATGAAGATCTGTATTGGCCCAGTACACTGTAAACAGGCATCGATGTGTCGTCTGTGACGGTCGTCGTGGAGGCCGAATACTCTCTGATTTGAGTTTCTTTAAGGCGTCAAGGAGGGAAAAGTTTAGGGGAACAGATGTGACTTTTTGGCTCTGTGTACGGAGGGAGAGGCTAACTTCTCCCATGCCCCCATGAGGTCACTCACAGCTCCAGCTCGCTGTTGCCTTGAACAATACAGTTCCTCTGTTGTGCCCTTCCACTCTCACACACCATATTCCTTCCTTTTGAGAGCAGCGCGCTGATTTCCAGGGAGGGGCTGATTTCACACCGCTCGACTTTCAGGTCCTCACAAAAGCCAAATGATATAGCCGTTTTGCTCTGGGAATGAAGTCATCTCACTGCTTTGTCATGCACCTCTTATTTGTGGTTTGGTTGTGCATGAAAACACTTCGATGCTTCTGAAACCGTCTAATTATGTAGCGTTATTGGCTATTTTTTGCCTCAGTCGGTTTCTGGAATAGGTCGGTGACTGTAGTGACTGTGGGCTGTTTGGAAACGGAGCCAGTCTGTCATCCTGTGGGCAGGTGCACAAGTCACCTTTTCAATAAATGACCCGGAGATGTTTTTTTAGTTTTTTCCTCCTACAAGATGCAGCGCTAAGCAATCAAAGCATGAAATGATGTCCAAAGTGAGGATGGGATTTGTTTCTTATTGTCACTGGTATAAATATTTTAGTAGTGGCAGTCATTTAGATTTAAAAGAGTTTGCATATGGGAGTCATTTTGTTTGATTTGTGACACAAGTATTTATCCGGGGTGCATATCCACTCACTGAGGTGTGACGGACTGATGTGAGGCCTATTTACTGTATTATAGTTGAAAGATGCAGACAGTATCAATAAAACCCAATCTTTGCTGATGCACAGCCGGTCCGGGTTGTTTCCCTACGATCGATAGCAGACTGATAGAGCACACTTGATTAGCTTTTTCCATGCAAACATCATCTGAAGCGAAAAATGACACACGATCTGATGGAAAACAAATAGCAAGCAGATAACCTGGCTTTTTTAGTTTTCCGTATCCCAGCCTACCCAAAGCCATAGGTAACTGATTTTTCGTCAGTTATCTCCAGCTGGGAGGAGGTCGGGTCCCTCCCTTGAACAACAGTGGAGGAGCACAAGACGTCAGCTCCTGTTGTACAGTTCCTGTACGTTGCTTGTGTGTCTCCGCGTTCATCTTTCCACGATGAACAGATAAACGCTTCATTTCCTTTTGCTGCTGTACATCATTGGACGTCGGGCTGATCCGGCAGATGATTTGTTGCCACGTCTCACTCCGACCGGAGGCCCGACGCGGTTCGGCTATATCTATCCCCCTCATTAAACATGCAGGATCCATAGATAATGGATGGCTCTCGTGGTGTCTGTAGCCTTTCACTGCGTACGGCCAGACGGATCCGTTGACATGACCCACATACATTTCCGAGCAGCCATGTGCTCAGACAAGCTCCGTTTAGCGGTCCGCCGCACAGGCGTGGGATCGGTGCACGACGGCACAAGTGCCCAGTGTCACCTTCCAAACTACATGACGCAACAATGTCGAAGATGATTTTTCGGGTTTTCTCTTTGTCTCCATTTACAAACATCAGAAGCGAGACGGCCCCAGCAGCCTTCACTCTCAGCTGTGCGTGAACGCGTCATCAGAGAGATGAGCAGCAAAGTGAAAAAGGAACTCATAAATGCTTAAATATTTGCTCTGACATCTTCCCCAAGTTGCCCCGTCCATTCTGCAAGGACACAAACGTGACTGTGCAATGTCTGGGGGGGTTGTGGGCACGATGATGTCACCATAGTAACCCTGTCACATCAACGAGATGCAGTCTGTACGTCTCCTCCTGTTGTCTAAACCATGTTTTGAAAAATAAGAGTCTTATCGGGACTTATTGTGTCTCTCTGTATGAAACAGATAAACAGTGTTTTGATATCATTGTGACTTTGTTTTTCAGGTGAACTTTGTGGCATGTCAGCTGTTTGCTCTGCTGATGGCCGTGTGGTTTCGGATCTACCTCCACCCCAGCAAGACCAGTCCCTTCATCAGACATGTGGTGGCCACTCTGCTGGGCTTCTACTTGGCTCTCTTCTGCTTTGGCTGGTGAGTCTCTCTGCGTCTGTCCTTTGGTACTCTCCTCCCCCCCTGACAACATCTCGCCACAGTGTTACGCTGTTGATGTTGGTCTGTGGCCTCCTCTGAATGGCATGCCGCTGTGAAATTTGTTTGTTTCACGCTTCAATAGTGAGTATGCGATAAGTTATGTACAGTAGAACCTCTACAAACGGATTTAATTTGTTACGGGTCCTACTTCGTGTGTTAAAATATTCGTATGTTGCTTCAAATATTCCCATCAGAATACACTGTAATCAATATAATTCATTCCACAGCCCAAAGAACTACAATAATACCTTAATAAATACTGCAGATAATTACCCATAGCAATAAAACAAATGCATGATATAAGAGAGATGTAAAAAGAAATTAATTATAAAGAGATAATCAATAAAAAGGGGATTTTATTGGCACTTTCCCTTAGAGACTGGCGAGTGGAGATGTAGGCTTAGCGATGCAGAAAACGGAGGAGACGGTCGGTGTGGAGGTAGAGGTGGTGACTGCGACACAGCACGAACTGTAACTTACTCTAACTTAGCGTATTTATTTTTTATTTGATTTTTATATTTGATTTTTTTTTTTCTATGACTTCGGCTACGAAGTCATAGAAATTGAGAAAATGTTGGAAATTTGATCAAATTTGACTTCGGATGTTGGAAAATTCGTATATGTAGGTAATTATAAGTCGAGGTTCTACTGTATTGACATTTTGTCCTGATGTGTCCACTGTCGATTTGATTCAGCGTTGTTGGACCCTTTTTGATCAAAATGATAGTGTGTATTCTTCCGGTGGAGTGCGTTCTTCCAGAATCGCCTTTCTGAAACTCGCAGAGAGGCCCTCAGCTCGCAGAGAGGCCCTCTGAGAGGTGGACTTCTGGCTCTCCCATCATGTCTCATCCCATTTCTTCCTAATTATCCCTCACCGCTGCTTCCTTCCCTTCATCCCATCCAAAGGAAATCAGTCAGTCAGGTAGAACTGATATCCAGTTCCCCTCTGCCTCTCTGACTCGCCTGCTGCTGTCAGTAAGCAGAGCGGGCATGATGAGGACTGGCCAGCCATCGGCCTGACCGGCTGGAGTGGAAACGCGTACTGGACCGCGTTCCCTGGTCAGCACAGGGACCGCTCACTTTGTACAGTTCCACCAGTTGTTGGTTTCGCCTACTAAAGCATTGTCCTTTCAATAATATCAAACATATGTGACTTTGAAAAAATACGACTGTTTCGTGGTTTATTCACTTGAAAAATAGACACATTTTCTACGTAATTTATCTACAACTGGGCTGAAAGAGAATGGTCAAATTGAGCCATACCTGAAAATAGACAGCATACTTGTGGGGCTGCATGCTGATTAGATGTCACCTCGGGGTGAAAGGAAAAAATTACATGTTTTATTAATTGATGAGTCTAATTGACCCCAGTCAACCCACGACCCTGAATTAGCTTAACCTAGTGTTGGAAATAGATGCATGGCTGGACACAACCTTCCTAGTTCCTCTTAAATCACTGTTGGACCTGTTCTTTTTATTACTCTGACCTCGCCTCTACACAGACTCTGATTCTTTGGGTGTTTTACAGCTTGACCGTATAAAACTGATATTGCTTGAGTCTTAGCCACTATGGTCTTAGCCGCTGTTTTTCAGCTAGTCAGCTCTTGCTGACGCTCCTGGCAATACTGTGTTTAGAGTAAACAAGTACAAACTTTTGCTCTGATATCTCCGCACGGCCCAAACAAACCAACGTATCGTACACCAACACAGCTGGAAGCAAAACTGACAGGCAGCGCCAAATCTGTTGTCATAACCGGTCTGACTCCCCTTCCCTGCATAGCTGAAAAGACTTGAGAATTAACTTGGGGACAGTTCGTAACTGCTAATTTAATTAAGCGAGGTAATGGGTTGCCTTTTTTTACTCTGAGGAATCCCATCAGCACCACAGCTGGGAGCACACCCTGTAAACACAGCAGAAATAGCCATTTTTAGCAAGTGCCGTTTATGTTGCGCGTTTAGCTGGACGAGACCACATTTTGTGGAGTGGCTTGCACTTCAGGAGGTCTGCCCTTGACCAGGGAGGACATCATACCGTAAGTCAGATATAATCCTCTGCTGCCGGCAGGTTCATCATCATTAGTGAACAGGGTGAATTTCCAACACGGAATCACAGATGGGGGGCCCCATTAGTTCTGAAGCTCAGCAACTGGTACCAATTTAGCACCGGTTTACCAAAAACTGCCACGACTAATTAAAGGAGTTTTTAAAAAAAGCCCTTCTGGAGGCCGTTTCTGCTGAAGTCATCTGAACTTTCCGTGCGCGCGCTGTCTTTTCTCAGAGGGCACCTGACTGTGGGTCCTCCAGGAGTTTCCCTACAGATGGTGTTGTTTTATTTTAGGACGCATTCCCGCTCCGCACAGATGCAAAAGGCCCTATAGAAAAAAGAAAAAAAAACGGAGACAGTTTAGCGCTGGAAGGGGACGGCTTGATCTGGGTTGCAGTGTGAGAACATATTTTCCTGTTTACGGTTTATTGACTCCAGGCACGTGCAAGAGAAGTTTCAGGGTTTTGTGTAATAAAAAAACAAAACAACCACAACCGTATCCATTCCGTTGTACCCTCCCCGTCTTCCTAATTCCTCCCTGTGCCCTCGGCACCCCAGGCTGGCGTATTCTCTGCTGGCCCCCCGATGCCCTTGTCCTCTTTGTTGACACACTACTAACACAGTGTGGCATCTCTGCTGTCCTGGAGGGCTTGACGTTGGTCGGATCGCACACTGTGCCCTTCAAAGACCCATCTGCTGCTGGGAAGCTGTGTGTTTGTGCGCCGCGTGCGCGGGGTCCTCACGAGGGGCGAGAGGTGGATGTCGGAGGCGGAAATTTGATTAACGCGCAGACATCAACTTCACGTAATGGCACTATATGACAAATCTTGCTGCTAGAAGAAGTGGAGATATATTTAAAACCTAGTGGGACAATGACTGTCACAGAATGGAAAAGACACGTGACTGTTGGGCCTGGCTGTGGTTGGGTGGATTATTTTGGTGGATTACTAAAAACTCACAAAAGGAAATTAAATAAACTCATTTTCTTGTGACGTAGAAGCAGTTGCTGCATTAGTTAACCGAAAATTAGCTTGTAATAATAATAATAATAATAATAATTTCTTGTGTCTGTGTCTCCACAGGTATTCCCTCCATTTCCTGGTTCAGAGCGGGCTTTCCTACAGTGTGATGATCTTTACCAGCCTGGAGCACATGCACAAGTAAGAGCTAACCTTTATTTATTTACCAATTGTAACCATTCATTTGTCCTTCCTTTTCGTTTAACGGCATGTAGATTCCCCTACCTTCAAAAAGAAAATCCTAAAGCAAAACATGACAGACCTTCCAAAATCACTGTGTAACTGCTTTTTATCGGTTAACTTTTTATTTACCTTTGGCTGAAAATGGCTAAACTGTGTTTGTGCGTGAGTCTGGGTCACAGGGACACTGATTCTGTCCTCAGGTTTTCTTTTTTTGAGGATGGCTCATCAACGCAAACACACACACACACCCACTAACACACACACACACACACCCACACACACACACACACACTGCTGTAGATCGTGGTTTTAAGGTCTTTTTAGGGTCGTACCTGCAGGTGCACCAGTTTCCCCCCGGGGGAGAGTTCTCTTAAATAGATACTAAGAGAACTAAGAGAAATGGCAGCTGCTCTTTCAAACCACGACCCGATGACAGGAAGAAAAGGACATTTTGACTCTGAGCAAAGGGAGATACTGTCAGTGGAGCCTGGTGTTCTGTCTTTTTGTGAAAAAGGGCAGGAATGCCTAACAGTGTCTGCTCACTCTCACTGTTGCTCTTAAAAAATTGAAAATGGCTGGCCTCTCCCGGGCCAGGCCAACACGCGACACCATCTCTGCTCGGAAAAGCAAACCCTACCCGGGCTCCATTTTGGGTTTAAACCACAGACTCCTGACTCGCTGGTGTTTGCTGAGGCTGTTGAACCCTTTACCTCAAATTTTTGCATTACAAATGAGTTGCTATCACAGGAACGAGTTGAGTTTTAACCACGACTCTGTCCTTTTGCCCTCTAGGTAAAGGCCAGTGTTTGGTCTCTGGCCTTTGCTCACTGAACCGCACGGATCCCCACGTCTTCTCAATCTGGTTCATTTTCAACCTTTCATTCGCTTCTGTTTTTATCATGCTACTTTTATTTTGGACTTCTTTATTATTTGTACTGATTCTTAAATCTCAACCTTTTTAACTCGCAGATGTTTAACTTGCTACTTTCATCCTGCCTCGGCTTTTTGATGATTCATTTAAAGTAGACGTCTTGTAAAACCGGCTTGTGGTCAGAGGCGATTGGGAATGAACAAATCAAGAGCTTTCATATCTCCCTTCTGTTCTGAATTTTCCTGTTGGGCTCCCTCAAACTTTCTGAACAAACCCAGTCTATCGCGCCACCCTCCTTCAGGCACATTGTGGCATGACTTCTCTATTTTTGTTCCTCTGCTCCAACACCCTGCCCTGGAGGGGGATGTGTTCAGTGAGGGATTCCAGCTTTGTGGAGCTTCAGTTTTTTTTAAACTCTGGGAATTTACTGAGAGTGAGGACCCGGGGCTCAGAGCCGTCTGAGGACTGACTAGAAGTGCTTTGTTAAGCAGGGGGTGTTGCATTTCATATCATTCACTCCTCCTGTCCTGGCCCTTTGCTCCCTTTGACAGCTCACCTGTTGAACATAGCGAGCGCAGTGCGAATATTCTGGATGCCTCCCTGCTTGTGAACCGCCTTCTGGTTGATGGCAAGATGGTAGGGTGAAATTGTTAGATAAGGAGGAACCAGCTGGATAGACTGTTACAGTTATGCAGGGTTATCGTACTGATGCTATGAAAGAGTCACTGTACTGTGCTTCATGAACTTTATTCTGTTTTGGGGGTCTAAATCTACTTTGATGAAGAAAAATGGGAATCCTACATAGTTTCTGCTCGTCCAAGTGTCAGAATCTTCAGCCTTGTGTGTTAGGGTGAGAAAGCATGACTACAGCTGACTGTGATTTGGGTGGGAATGACGGGCCAACGCTAAGAATAGAGGATACATCCACTGGTTCAACGTCCGAATTCGAGTGCACAAGCAGTGCAAATGAATAAAGTCTTATTAATGTTTTAAATGAATATTTTTTTGCCCGTTTTTCTTTTCATGTCCTTGTATTCCATATGGTTCTGTACCTGTCTACCGCTGTCTCACAGCAGCACAACAGCCTGCCGAAGTTTCCCGCACCTTCCAGTTTATTGAGTGCAAATGAAACGCCTCCTCCGAGCTGTGAATTCCACAAACACAAATCAGACGATGACAAAGGACAGAGCCCCTGCCGGGGTCACTGCCAGTGCAGCCGGTGAAGCTCATAAAGCTCAAAACTAATAGCCAAAGGTGTGAGCTATGAAAAGAGGAAAAAGCTTTTCATGAGTTACAGTTTCAGGGGATTTAAAATATAAAAAAAAGAAGGAAAAAAAGTTGTTGTTAATTTAATCTTTTGGACTGCAGGATGGCTCTGACTGTATAAAAGTGGATGTGTGGTCAAGGAATGGTTTGTTTTTCTGAATTAATCATTGAAAGCTAATCCATCAAACAAGTTGCTTTTTCAGTAATGATGACAAAAAAATCTCATTTGTTGATGAAATGTAGATCAAAGGTTTGAAGGTCCTCCATTGTTCTTTCTCTGGCAGAGTTAAAAGCAATGGGTGGAGAGTGCCCGCTGAAAACCACAGAGTGGATCTTTTGTGGATATATTGATCCATAAAACATACATTTGTTATGAATGTATCTGGGAAGCGTGGATTGCCTTTGCAGAGAGCTGCATGTGCAGGATATTGAGGAATATGGTGTAAACTGTCATGCCAAGTGTGGGTTGGATTCCAGTGCAGAGATCTCAGAGCATAAAAGGACAACGTAATGACTATCTCCTGTTTGCAGGGCTTTTTATTGGCTTCTCTGAGGGTTTTGTGATTAGCCGCAGTATGCAGTGTTCATCTTGAGTTTCGAGACAAAGCTTCTGAATTCTCTGAAGTAAGACACGGTGCCTGGTTTGATTTAGTCTTCTAATGGCTTGGCAGCAGAGATCAGGTGATGTGTTGGCTGTGCTGGATACAGAAAGCTCTCCCAATCAAGAGGCCCTGTTGTGTCTTTTCTCCATCACGGCCTCGCTCTTGCTGCCGTGCTGTACTCCTTCTCCGGCCAGCACAATCCTCTTATTGTTGGCCGCAGAGGGGTGGTATCTAGCTAGCGTTTCGACTTGGGCTGACTCTGCAGCAGCTCTGTTCCACAGTGCAGTCTTTGGCTTTCTTTTGAAAGGTCATGTTGTTTTGAATCTTCCTCCACAAACAAGGTTTCATTATCTGCTCTGTGGTCCGCTTTTGACCCCTTCGTCTTTCCAGGATTCTGCTCTGTTGCCGAAGTCACTGCCTTCTGTGTTATATTTAAAATATGATGGTTATTAAATCAGGACATTGAGGACATAAGTGTCAGATTTGATTGTCTATGTGTTTTTTTTATATACACGCTCTTGTGATTAATTCCCTTCCCTTCCATCTCTCTCTCCTTCTCCATGTCCAGGACCTGTTTCGTTGTGACACTCGGCTATCTGATATTGTGTCAGATCACACGCGTCTACGTTTTTGACTACGGCATGTACTCTGCAGATTTTACAGGGTAAGCTACTCGTAACGCCACAGAGCCGGCTGATGTACTTGCCCGCTGTTTTAACAAGGCCGTTTGTAATTTGATCGCATATGGGTGAGAAATGATAAACTGTCATTCCGCATCAGGACACAGCTCGAGGAGTCTTAAGCAAAGCCGAAACGACAGCGTGTCACACTGCTCAGCTGCGTCCGAAGGAGGAAGGTGACAGGGACTACAGTTCCTTGTAGTGGGCTCCCACTCCTCCAGACTGTCTGACAATTCAGACAGCCTGCACTCCCAGCAGGGTGGGGGTGGATAGTTGCTAAGCAACCCAATGCAAACTCTCACTGCCTCTGAAAGGCCATAGACTTCCCTGCATTAGCAATGTCGGCTGTCCCTCTGTTTTGCTTAAGAGTGTCAAACACACTTGTCCCTTTAATATCTGTGGGCAGCTTCTTGCCACTGGAGCCGATTTCTCATATTAATTCTTTCGAACAGTCGATCATCTCTGGTGGCAAACGTCACGTACAAAATGTTGCATGCTTTACAACTTAAAACTGAAAGGCATTCATCCCGGGGATGACGTCATTCCCAACACTGATTTTTTACTTCTGAGACACACAAATGTAGCCTCAGTTTTTCACTTATCACCACCTATTTTTAAAGAATGAAATAAAGGGGAAAAGAAAAGCCTGGAACTATATGACTTTCCAGAGAAGATTAACTAAAAGAGCCAGGAATGTTTTAAAAGAAGGAAGCCTGTATTTATCCAGAGAGCAACTTGTCGTTTTGAATATACTGCTGCAGTTGTTGCTGTTATTTCCGGATAATTTGACATCTAAGCCCATTACTTGAATGATGCCATGAATAATGCTTCTGTCACTAATTGTGGAATTTGAACAAGCAAAATGAATCCCATTGAGGTCAAAACGCTAGATGACAAAACATGCAAATAAAGATTTACAAAGCAGCAAAAATAAAAAGAATCCTATACTTTACATCAATTTGCATCTTCTTGTTTAGATGTTACAATGGCTTTATAGGTGAGGTTGTAAAAACATTTATTGAGATGTGTCAGGTTTTTAAGAAAAGGTCAAACGAAATGTGACAAACTGGCTTGGCGTGCTGTACATTTTAACTGTCTTTGTTCTTCATCAGGCCCATGATGGTTATAACGCAGAAGATCACCAGCATGGCCTTTGAAATACACGATGGTAAGACCAGCGTAGCTTCCCGCTGTGTGCATTCTCGAAAACAACGGCGAGAGAAGTTAATATGCCAGTTCAATTCTCTTAGGGGTTTAAAAACAGATCACATGGCCACATCTCTGAGCTAGTTGTCAGCTCTGACAACGAACTAGTGAACCAGAAACAGAGCATAAGCATAGTTATGTAATAGAGCGACAATCAAATGTGCATTCCATTCCTTCTCCATGTCTCCCTCCATGAATTGTTCTTGTCTGAGATAAAACACAAACAGTATTAAACTATTAATCAAGGACAGGCATGCAGTAAGTCCACTCTGTTCTCTGGAAACATTGCAGACCTTCTGACTTTAACGGCACAGCAGGTTGGAGTACATTTGGAAGCCTAAATCCCTCCTGTTTTGATTCATAGGGAAATATCGGAGGTATTATGGCAGTTCACATGCTGGTGTTTGAGTTTTGGTGCATAGATATGCTGAAATGGTGTTTTAAATTCTTCTCAGGCCACTACTTTGTCTTGATTTGTGCAGTAATGGGGCTCTAATCACCATAATAGATCTATCACACCTTAGAGAAATATTCACACACTTTCTTCATGCATATCACACTCTACATAAAAATTTTGAACTAGAGATCAAGGCTTCAGTCTTGGCCACAGCAACCTGAACTAAGCACAGCTTTGTCAAGCCCTGTTGTTTATCTAATGTGTAATGAGTTGACCAACTATGGGTCTACATGACCAACGAGCGGGCAACACAGGGGAACAACCTATGGTGGGTGGTGACCTCTCAGAGGGTTATGCACACAGCCACCTGTTTACTCTTAGGTGTCATCCTTCCTTTTTCGTTATTTGCACTCGTGGTTTTGTTTACAATTGCAGGCCCATTCACGCAAAGTCTCTGATCCATAAGCCCGTCTTACAGCTGAAGTCTGTCTCTGCACCTGTTTGTAGGTTTGACCAAGCGAGAAACGCAGCTGACTCCCAGTCAGAAATACCTAGCTATCAGGTATGTGACTCAGGTATGTTTTAATGCTTCGGGTGATGAGTTCCCGTAGTCAGATTGAATTAATAAATTGAAAAGGCTTTTAATTTTGCATTCAAGAGCTCTGCCTCAGAGGCATGCCAGTCTTTACTTTCCAAAAGGCATTATGGCTTTCTGCTCTGGAAATCATCACACCCCTTTTAGTCTCTCTCTCCCTCTCTCTAGCTGTTGTTAGGCACTCTGTTTCCAGGAAACCACACACTGTCAGCTCTTAAACGAATCATATTTTGGGAATACCCATAATCCTCCATTCATCCTTCTCCAGAACAGTTTCTCAAAAATCCTCCAATCCTCCTTGTTTTCCATTGTAATGTAGCCGAGTTGCAATCACAATGCATTAGGATGACTTCTGCACATTAACAGCCTTTTTATCTAAAAGGGAATTAGAATGCAGCAATAGTGTGGATGGAGAGATTGGGCAGGAAATGGTGCAGATATAGCAAAATACCAAAGCACAGGGCAGGTGCTGTTAAAGGCAAGATGAACTAATACAGCCAACCGATGTGATACAGCTTAATTTGACAAGATCTTGGAAAGCATTACTTATATTTTTATAAACTGTCAGTTGTGGATGGGAAAGAAAAATAAGAGTGTGAGGAAATGTTTTTGTTTTCTGACTGTGTTGCTGTTAGTGTTTTATTGTCAAAACTAAACTGAAAAAATAAACCAGTGCTCACATGCAGAATAATAAGTCACTATTATGTCATGTCATGGTTTATCTCCAGTTTTGAGATCCATGGATCGCAAAGATTTTGTGAAAAAACAAAGTGATGAAAAAAGTGGCCTAAAAGGTAGACGAGAGACATTTAGTAAGTCTTTCATCTGAGGAAAAAAAAACACAAAAAAAGCCCCACCCTATAAAACCTTTTTTCTCCTTTATTCTAAATTGGGCCGTTGTTCACGAAATGGGCATCATAATGGGCACCATCTCTGTAGAAAAAGACATTACAATGGTAATCGAGGACATTTGGGAAGATGTTTGCCAAGGTCAGACCCAGGGAGAAGCAGTCATTTTCCCAAAGACTTGAATCTGGAGGAGATTTTTATAACTACACGTCGCCCCCAGCTGGCCATTATATAGAATGCAGGCTCTAGTCACTCAGCATTCATCCATAAAATGATGCAATACCCACTTCTTTGACTTGGACTAAATGGCAGTTTTACCCAAACAAAAAGAAGCTATGAATTGAAATACCCCGATTCTAAAATGATGAGAGCCTAAACAAGAAAGTAGAGTCCTTTCTTTTCCAAATATTTGTTGGGGCTACTAGGGGTCACCTGACTCTAAGATGGCTATTGGCAGGGTAAGGAATGGACAGACAACCCATAAGCTCATATTCAGGCAGCAAAAGCTCTGGCCCAAAGCCAGGTTTGGTCTGTTTAGATCTGCTGCTGTTTTTTTCTGGCCAGTTCAACACAATAGTCCTATCTAATTTCTAACTGCTTATGTACCATGTTTGTTTTCAGCTGTATGATGGAACACAGAGTAATAGCATTAATTTGTTTTCTCTTCTTAATCTTCCTCATCCTAAAGTCGTATGCCCAGCTTACTGGAGTACCTAAGCTACAATTGTAACTTCATGGGCATTCTAGCCGGGCCCACATGCTCCTACAATGACTATATGGCCTTCATTGAAGGGACGTGCTATCAGCCACGCCACCAGGAGATGGCCAACGGCAAGGAGAACGGAAAGTTCAAGCATATTGAACCCTCACCCAAGGTACAGCCCACCTGTGTGGAGATCAGAAAAAAAGTTTGGACTTGAAACCAGCTTTTTTTTTTTGCAAATAGATGTTTGGGTACAATTTCCTGTTTGAGAGTGGACAAGTTTTATGGTTGAAGGTAATAACTCCTTTGGTTACCTGTTTAGAGATAGTTATTAGCACATTAACCAAAGTAAAAGTTAAAACGTTGACTGTATATTGGTGTATTACAATATTTTATTTATGCTTTTACATTTCATTGTAACAGTATGTGTTTTGATCTCATAATCGAGAAACTGAGTCAAAGAAATAAACAAAGGCGTTGCTAAAAATAGGCCCCACTTCGAGAAAATCGACAAAGAAACCAAAGAAGCCCACACTTGAACCTGACCTAGTTCGACTTACCATTGTTGTGTGTAGGTTTTTTCTCTCACTCGATTCATTTGAATGGGGACTCATCAGCATTCTTTGTTTTCCGCTGGTCTCTACATAGAGTGATGTCATCTCCAAGCTGTGCACATGTGCCATCTCGCTTGCCGTCTATCTGTCGCTGTACAAGCTGCTCCCCGTGGACCACTCCATAAACGATGACTTTGTCAAGTCCACGCCTTTCTACCTGCAGGTCATCTATCTTTACCTGGCAATGCTGGCCCTGAGGCCAAAGTACTACTTTGTCTGGACGCTTGGTGAGTCTCATGGGATTCGGATGGGATGCTTCTTTCCTCAAGTTTGCTTTGAATGCATGCATGTAGTTTTTCTGGTGATGATACTCCTCGTTCCTGTTACTCTGGGTCATTCACTTTCACAACTGTAGAGGGAAAAACGATCTCAGAAAGCACTCGCCTCTAAAGTGACACCTGTCAAGACATACAAAACAAACTGTCAGCCAGTTTGCAGATGAATCAGGAGAGCAAATGATGGGAAGTCAGTGTTTGGGCGTTACAGATTTTGTTTTGCTCATTTGGATGAATTGATTTGAACTCGCTGTGCAGCTTTGGGTTTCGTAGAATAAGTTTATTAGGGAAATGATTACAGCCTAAAAACAAACAAACAAGGAAAACAATCCTCTTTTCCTACACTGTGTTTCTTGATATAACAGTGCCATCTAGTGTTTAGAGACTGGTTTGCCCTTCTCTTGCAGCCGATGCCATCAACAACGCTGCAGGATTTGGTTTCAATGGATACAACAAAGATGGCTCCCCACGGTGGGACCTGATTTCAAATCTGAGAATCCTGGACATTGAGGTTTGGATCTTTTTATGAGCTTTCTTCTATTCTGATAGAAGATCTTCTCCTATTGAAGTATGAAAATATTATTCTCATTTCAGTTTGCCACAAGTTTCAAATTGTTCTTAGACAACTGGAACATACAAACAGCTCTATGGCTCAAAAGGTAAGAGCATTTTTAAAAGAAAAAACTGTTACTTTTACTTATAACAGTGACCCCAGTGAGATAAGAATTCCCCTTTGTCTATGCTCTTTGAGAAAAACACCTGACTAAAATGCGTGCATGTGTAATCTATATCTGAGCATTTTCAGAGGCAGTATTTTGTTCAATCTGCAATGCGATTGTAAAAGAAAATTGTTTTGTTTTGTTTTTTTCAAATTTGGATTGCGTTCTAAATGTATGCCACGTCCGTTTTCTTCAGGGTGTGCTATGAGCGCTGTCCCATTAACCCCACAGCTGCTACCTTCCTGCTGTCAGCCATGTGGCACGGCGTGTACCCCGGCTACTACCTGACCTTCGTAACAGGCATCGGCATGACCATGGCTGCACGTGCAGTAAGTACACTCACGCTTTAGCTCTTTGTAATACTAAAAAAGAGTAAATGTTCCAGGCCAAAAACAAGACATTTTTCTGACTAAATTTGAGGATTTATTCATATTTCTCTCTTTTGCCCTTTGAATTTGAATTAAATGTAAAGAAACCTGATTTTAAAAGATTCTATAATTTCCGGTTATCTCTACTAAGTCAGACTTTTCATTGTAATGACTATAAATGACAATAGGATATGAATAGTACATTATACAGGAAAGAGGACTTTCCATTCATAATTCATAGTACAGGTGAGTTCTTGCAAGATTTGTTCAGCCAGTTTTTTATGTGAAAGAGGACATATAAGACGCTGACCCAGTTATGGCATAAAGCTAATGACCACAGCCACTCAGAGATGCTCTAGCAGATTTCCCTGAAGAGTTCTTAGATCTAAAGTGACAGAAAGTGAAAGCAGATGAGAGGGCGAAGCGAGCGGTACTGCCCGCTCGTTTCTGCAAACAAAGGTGAAACTAGGTCAGTTTGCTTTGTTTGAGTTTAGTTTCGCACGGTAAAGTTTTGCGACATGTGCTTCTCTTTCAGGTGAGGCACAACATCAGACCATACTTCCTGGGCTCTGACTCGTACAAGTGTATCTATGATGTCATCACGTGGGCATGCACGCAGGTGGCCATCAGCTACACAGTGGTGCCATTCGTTCTACTCACTATAGGACCCTCGCTTAAATTCTACAGGTACGTGGAGCTGGGGCAGACAACCTCTGCCCCTGCACGTCTGCAGCGTTGTTGGAAGTGTGAGCAGTAGCCAGTGCTTCCTGTGGACTTTAGCATTTTGGAAATAATTACAACTTGCTCATGAAATGTATGCGATATGTGCACATTTCAGCTACTAATATATCTGATGGCTTTGTAGCAGCAGAGTCCAGCTACTGTACTGTAAAACATATTTGCCATATTGCACAAAATACCACAAAGAAGACACAGGATTACTGAGCAGAATCCAGTACTAAGTTGTTCATAGCGAGGAAGGTTTTTGAGGGGAAATGAGAATTGAAATGCCGGAAATCCAAACGAAGTCTCTGCTTAAACGCTTTTATTAGCTTGGGCCTCTGCCGTTAGGCTATAACATTACAAGACAGCTTAATGGGAAGAGGATGTGGAGTATTGATGATGAGGACATAAAATGTGTGGCCTGAACATTGCCCAGACGCGGCCGTGAAATAAAGATCCAATCATGAGCAAGTGTCTGCAGGACAGGCAGCATAAAGCAGACTCCTTCATGAGCTTATGGATGCAGAAAATATTTGGACCAATGATAGCGCAATATGAAATGTTGAACAATTTCTAGAATTTCTGCTCATCAACATCAATAGAATCTGAATGACTAAAACCATAGATGGTCTTAGACGCCTGAAAGGTTTTCACTACTTTGTGAAGTTCTGAATTCATTTATTTATGTATTTATTGCACTTCTAATAATAATCCTTTCACTTTCCAATGCCTTTGCAGCTCCTGGTACTTCTGCTTACACCTCCTGTGTTTGCTGGTGGTGCTCGCCCTGCCCGTCAAGAGGCGCCGGCAGGCTAAGGGGCAGCAGGACGGCGCACAGAAGGAGGCGGTACAGGACAAGCAGGCAGATCACAACAGCACAGACAACAACTGCAACCAGAAAGATAAAGCCACATGAGGCCCGCCGCCGCGAAGCACAGTCCCGTCGCCAGCAGAGACACCAACACGGGGAGCTGGAGGGTGTGAAGTGTGTTTACCTGACAATAAACCAAAAACCTCTGAGAATCCTACCAGACAGAAAACACGAGACCTGTCAAAAAAAAAAAAATTTCCAGTAGCAAAGATGACGGCAATCACACTTCTGACTTGGACAAGAGATCAAGATGACGCAACGGCCACGGTGTAAACTAACAAGCGGTAGTGGTTACTTTACTTTACATTAGTGATATTAAAGACTTCCAAGCTGCCTTAAACCCTCTATGTACTCTGCAGGAGAAAAGAAGTTTGATGGCAGGCTGCAAGACCATAAATGCAGCTGCACCATGTTGGTATTGTGTTGTCTAATCAGGACAGATGTGCAGTATGTGGAGGGTTTTTGTCATTGTCTGGATACAAGCCTCTGTTGGGTGAGAGGAGGAAATGTGTACATGTAAAAGAGACATAACCTTTATCATCAGCTGCCAATTTCAAACAGGCCTTAGGATCCTCAAATTATTGTCTAATTTCTATGTCTTTTTTAAAAATCTTTCTTCAAGAAGAATTCAAGTTGTGCGTGTTTTGTATTTAGGTTTTGTGAAACTATTTGAAATGCATTCTTAATGCTTTTTGTTCTGGGATTAATCGACTAAACCAGACAAAGAGAACCAGAAAGAGGGATTCAGATGTCGTCCATCTCTTGCAGTGTAAAAGGGGAACTTCAAGAGTCTGTGAAAGATTCCTGCTTATTTTTATATTTTTCATATCCTCTGCATTTTCTGCCGAACATGACTCATCATATTAATGTGTGTTTCAAAGGGATTTTTTTTAAATTATAGTATTTCTTCATTGGGATTGTCACCCCCGACAGTTTATTTGTGACACAACAGGTTTCCACCGATTCCAAATTATTGCTTCTGTTGTGTAATTCCCAAGTAATCAAATTCAAAAGTACTATGAATAGTAACGTGACAAAACTATGTGCACAGCCCTAAAATCTTAGATCTCACTCATGCAACAGACAGATAAAAGATTTTGTAGCATTAACGGTTACAAGCCAATTGAACAGATTAATATTATTGCAGCGTGTATATTACTATATTTCAGGACTGATTTCTGTCATCGGCATGTGTAATCTGCATTTGCTGTGAAGTATTCTAATGCAAATATTCATGGATGTGGCATAATGTAGTCCAAAATTCAACGACATACACTAGCCATTGTGATAAATAATCTTACTTCATATTGTATGCTCTTAATAATAGATTAGGGGATGTTTTGGGGTGCATTTACTGTATGGTATAAGAAACACTGGGTCTTCATGTTGTTTTTGGTCCATGGCTCACCATAAGCCTTTCAAATCATGCTGTTTACTCTTCACAACACACAGGGTTTTTTTTTTCCTTTGGTATCAGATGGAATTAATGGAAAATGGGGAACTGAAAAGGCATCTCACTGTTTAAATAATGGAACGACACATGTTGAAATATCTGTTACAACAGATGTGATCGTGGTATTTTAAGGTCACATTATCATTACACTGCTAAGTTGTGCATTATTGTTTTTCCTTCTAAAAATCAGGCAGTAATTTGAGTTGCGTCTGTTATGTGAAGTAATAACCAACAACAGAGCTGAGCTCTACGGTATGGACCTCTTTTTTTTTTTTTTTTTGCAACACATTCTAACATGCATAATCCTGCCATAACTGTGTGTTCATCAGTATACATGTGATCTGTACATGTTCATGTGATTTTTCAAGTAAACCATGTTTGTAGCCTGGGATGTGCGTAACGAGGGCGGCCCACTCAAGGGAAATGAGTCTCATTCTATAAACATAGCGTTTATTGCACTGCATGGCCACCCAAACCAGCAGATCAATGCAAACTGCTCCATGTGTCCAAAGTGCCAAATCACAAATGGCGCATCTTGTTTTCTGTCTAAGTGTGCCTGCGTGTGCGTGGGTTTGTGCGAGTGTGCGCGTCTGTTTAACATAATGGTTATTTTTGTGTCAGATGGAAATTTATTGAAAGATTTGTATAACAGTACATTAAAATTCTGATTTATGTGGCAAAAATAAAGAGAAATTATTTTTAAACACTACAGTCATATGTCACAAATGTCTCGTTTCTATCCAAAGGTTGATATTTCTGATATACTGTTGGTTGATGCATAGGAGGCTCCTTAATTAACAGCACAGCAAACTCATGCAGAGATAAACACACAAACAACTACTGCCTTTTTAGTCATTGAATGAAGTTTGATGATGTTACATTGGTATGAGCTGCATTAAAACACTGAAACAATACAAAAACTATTTAGTACAAAAGTAATCGTGTACTAAAATAACCAGAGCAGGATTAATTACTGAAATATTCTTATTAAGTCCATCAGCCTTGCTTTGTGAGAATTCCATGCACACAAAATTACCTTTGGTTTTAATTTAAATTGATTTAATCCAATTGATCTACTTTTTTCCCTCAGTGGCGAAGTACAATACTGAAGTCAAAATGTATTTCAGTAAAAGTAAAATGACTGAAACTACACTAAAAGAAACTCAGTTGCAGTAATGTGAGTACATGGGATTAGTTACCGTCCACTTCTGAAAATAACTTTTTTTAATGGCTTTGACAGCCTTTACAAGCTTAATGGAAACATTTCAATCCAGTTGCCTATATACAACTCCTTTAGACAGAGTTATAACACGGTAAAAAACTGAATAGTAACTTAAAGAAAAATGAAGACAACTTTTAACAAAAAAGTATTACATTTTTTCACTGGATTATATTTTTGATAGATTTTTCTATGGTATCTAATGCCTTTTACTGTTGTTTGTAATGGTTTATTGTGTGGTTGAATCCATTGTATGTAAACTTTGTGTTTGTTTCCTGCTGCCTTTGGCAGTAATCCCCAGAGAGCGTGGTGTGTTCGGGGTGCTGCCACATGTTCCGCCGCTGGGAGCAGCGGGGGGCGGAGCCATGGCGATATTTCTGTAGCAGGGTGAGGGCAGGTTACAGTTGCATTGTGCTCAATACAATATGACGTGAAAAGAAAACATCTTCCACTGGATGTTCCGGGTTGGGAGTCGTCGTATAGACGAATACAGTGCAACACAGTCGAGGTAAAACGACGCCACGTTCTTGTTGGCACTTTTTTCCCCTTCGCTTTTACAGGTGTTTCAAACGCGCTAACCTGTTGGAGTGTTAGCCACCGCCGAGCTAACCATTAGCCGTTTAGCCGTTTGAAGTTGGGCTAGCTTGTGTTTTGTTGTTGCTTCCTTGAACAAAACGTGAAAAAAGCCCGTGCTTGCTAGTCGCATTTTTTGGTGTAAACGTAGCCAAGTTATCTCCTCGCTTTTCTCAACTGGGTTGCATTTGACGCCAAGCGATATGAGTGTGTTTTTGTGTGGACGTGTGTCTTTCATGCAGATGTTTACCTGACAACTTGAAGACGCGTCCTTAGACGAGCTTCGTTTCGCGTTTCTTAACAGAGTTTAATGTTGCAAACGCAGACAGAAAACCTCTCAAAGAAACAGCATGTTCACACTCTGTTGGTTGACATTGTGTTTTGGCTGTTGTTTATACTAGTCTTAACAACCTGGTTGTTCGAAGCAGAGTTTCCGCGGACTGTCTTGGATGAATTTATTAAAGTTTTCAGACAGCCGAGCTAACCTGTGTTTTTGGATCTGACTCTGGTATGTGCAGAGGAACTAAATCCTCAGCAGTTTCATACCCACATGACTTGCCATGAAGAGCTGACTGGTTAAATTTAGAGAGAACCTATCCAGTGTTGCCTTCTCAGTTCACTACCTTCTCCTAAATTTGTGCTGATTAGGTGACTTGGGTGGGTGTTATTTGCCATATCATGATAGTGTAGTGTTTTTACTGTACACAAATACTGGATCATATCTAACCTAAGAGACAATCCTCAGCATATGTAGTTCACATTTGTATTATGTATTTTAAAGAAAACCAATTCCATTATCTGGGATCTGTTTTTTTTGTTGCTGATTTTTTATTTTCTTTGTCCAGTTGAATAATAGAATGGTTGTAAAAAGTACAAACAAGATTTTCACAAAGCTCATGTTTTTTTTTTTTATAAATCATGTTTCGCAAACAGGTCCTCACATATGTGTGCTTCCAACCATTTTGTAGTCAATGTATTTGCTTAATAACATGCTTAATAGGTCAGACAGTTGAGAAATATCCCATACAAAATTAATCCTTTCTTTTAAATTCATCAGCAATTTAAATGTTGGTCATGTTTCATGTGAAAAAAAACTTAATGTTTGAGCAAAAGGAAGATTGGACAAACCTTTGAATTGTTCTCATCCCTTTTTCTACATCCATGGAGGCCAAACCTTTTCATGTATTGACTGGAAATCCTGTGACGTGTGTCCATTGTGCAGGGAAGAGATGGGTGTAGGCCTGCCCCCTCATCTAATATTCAGCCTTCAGTGAAAGGGGGATGCTGTGTGTGAGCTGGCAGTGCCTGTACACACTCTGTGGGCTGTGTAAGGAAGCGGTATTTGTGTTCAACCGGTGCATTTAGAATCACATAAATCCTACATCAAGGTAATGCTGTCTGCACTTATTCCTCTTTTGTGTTTCCAGGGACCTTGTGTTATTTATTCTAGCGTCTATAGTTTGTTTCAATTGCTTTATATCATGTTTTTGGTTTTTAAACTGTTATGATTTAGTGGGGATGTGCTTTTAAAAGGATGCAATATTGCTTTTGAGCTTTGCCAGAGATAAATCTTTACTGATTGGTTCATGTGAGGTGTAATCATCCTCCCATTGTGCATAGAGACAGGGAGCTGAGGAGGGTGTGTCAACAGGCTCCCGTCGGTGTAACTGAAAACAAAAGAATGTATTTTTCCTCCAATCACTGCTGACTCGGTGAGGTTTGGAAGAACAGATGTCGTGATCCTAGGCTACAGAGAGACGACTGGACTTTAGGGGGGGAAAGATCAGGTCCCATTGATAAGCATTGATTGGCTTCGCTGAATTTGCTTGAACTGTTGAGCCTTTGTACTGACAGCCCTACAGGCATGTGACATTTAAATGTTTATCCACCTGAGCCTGAGCAGCATGTCTGAGGGATTAAGATGAAATATTGAGCAGCCAGTTTTGTAGTTAAATGTGAAACCCATTTCAAGTCAATTTGCAGCAGAGAGTGAAGCTTGTCAGTAATGGTAGTGTGGCAGGAAGTACCTTAAGTCTGACCATGATGGAAGAGCCTAACATGATGAATTATTGATGAGTTTTTTTATCGACTGGCTGATTCCCTAATATGGCAAAAGCTTAGTGGGTTTGATCAGCTCTTTTGTCTGGTATTGGAATTAATGAAATGTCACAATAAGCTGTTGCTTTTAGAGAAAATCTGTGCCATAAAAACGAGTAAAAAGAGCAACATTTCTGCCAATGTCCTAAAATCCTTAATTTGGGGAAGCCTTGTTGTAGCTAATTTCTGGAACTGTGCAATGTACATAGGTTCATCAGGTCCCTGCTGGACACAAAAGAAATATATATTGTGTGCAGTTTTATTACCAGCATATTTTCTGTAAAATTCCACAATTCCTAGTTTCTTTCAGCGGGATAAGGCCTATCACAGATTGGCTTTGAGGTAATTGGAACGGGCAGTGGAGAACTCTCATTGGGAGAGTGACCCTGGCATCAAAGAGAAAACTTTAAGGACTCTCGTTTAACTTTGTTGATATTTGAAGATCTAGTTAACTATCCCAAGCAGGGCACCGTGATTGCCTTCATGTCATTTTATATTAGAGACAAATTTCAGTGAATGATTTCAGCATGGAGAGGCAGACTAATAGCCCCTGTCTGCCTCTGACCAATAGACATGCTCAGAGGAGTAATCGCATTTTAACAGGCTGTTAGAAAAATGCATCTTTACCTCTGAAATATGTGCACATTTTTAAATAATGTTGACTGTGTATAAGGGCTTTTTGTAGATGATATTTAGACTCATTTTGAGATGATGTGATTTGACCATGTTTGAACAGGAAAGTCTTCAGTTTGAAGTGGTTTCGATGGGTACAAAATATATTTTTAATTAAGAATTTAGTTTTTCATGTGTAAAATAGTTTAGTGTATTTGTATTAAATAATTTACGCTAATTCAAAGAGCTCTTTTAATTACTGAACTTCTTAAAAACCATCCATCGTCAACATTTAAGGAAAGATAAAAGCAGACTCCAGACACTTCCTGTCCTTTTGTTGGATTAAAGCAAATAAACTAGAGGGTGTTGATGTGAGATATCTTGTGTTTTGCATGAAGATGTAGCAGAGAAAACAGAAAGAAATAACTTTGAATAGAGAGAAATCCCAGTTTACAGTATCCACAAAAGACAAAATTAGCTCTTCTTCATGAGTTACTGTAATGCCTTTTCAATTTCCACTTTATTTTTCCACTTGTTGTCTTTTCTATCAGCGTTGTAGTACCTAGCAATACGCTTATATGACTGAACATTTTTATGCACACACAAACTGGAAGAATGACTGGTCAACATTGGTTATGAAATTAAGCTCAAGCAACTTTTTGAGACCTTTCACTGGTTGTTCCTCAGTAACCCTGTGATGGGGTGTACCACGCATGGTGTGTGTATGAGCCAGATCCTGACTGTAGGTTTATTCGAAAGACGCATCACGCCTTTGTTGTCCCACCATGTGTTTTTCGTCTCAGTTTGTCAGACACTGTTTCCGCCTCATTCTTGCTGTGAATGATAATCGGCTTCTCTCCTGCTTTACAGTGGTGTGCAGGTGGTTAGCAGCCAGACATGGATACCACCACCTCCCTGAAGATGACCTCTCTGGCTGTCCAGAGCCTGTTCAGCTATGTGGAGGAGGAGAACCTGGCTGCCATCAAGGCTCATTTGGACAAGTTCAGAGATGTGGACAGCAGGAGCGATGTAAGTCAGCCCACTGTTGGCTCAGGCCGGTCAGGAAGGATTATGCAGGAATGAAAGGCTCTGTTGGATTGTGTAACAAGTGCTCTGTGGGAAAAAGGATTTTAGAGGTACAGTATTCATGATAATGCACTGCTGTGCAGGAGTTGGGTTTGGAAGTATAATCTTTTAAATGATTTCAGCCAACTTTAAGACCATTCTTAAAAAAACAACAGCATATGATACCTCCTTTGATTCAGCATTATAAAGTTATAAAACATTAAATACAAATAAAAAAATTACTGGCACAATGTAAACTTTGGCGTGACACCTAATTGATCCTTTACAATTGAAAATCCAAACATAATCCTAGTGACCCTCAGGTCATATATGGGGTTTCTTGTATTGTCAAATCATTCAATGGTGCCACCTCACTTTATTATTTTGGGTTCTTATTTGATATCATGGGATTGGAACCACACCTTACTGTTTCTTTTTCTTCCCTGTGTCTTTATTTCAGAATGGACAGACTCCACTGATGGTGGCGGCAGAGCAGGGAAACCTGGAAATAGTGCAAGAACTTATAAGGAGAGGGGCAAATGTCAACTTGGATGATATAGTAAGTTTTCAAATACACACTGGATATCTCAAAATATCTGCTATGAGCACACCCTGTCACATGAAAAAAACATGCATTGTCAAAGCACAGGTAAAAAACAGTGCTGTCATTTGAACCACATCCTCCTCCTAACAAAGAAGCCTCGACTAAATGCCCCGATGTTCCATCTTGCTGAAGTCACCACTTTGGCTCAGCCCTCAGTTATTACAGTATAAGCCATAATCATGGTTTATTACACACTTTTGCCTTCGCTCTTTGAACTTAATGACAGGATCTACTCACAAGGCAACACCTTGTTTCTTCAGAGTCCAGCCCTCACACACACGTAGTTCCCTCCCAGCACACGCACACATAAATTCACACACCTCTTATTAACATCTCGTACATCTCACGCTCTTCTAACCTGCCATTACACACCGTAGTCTCAAACGTGTGCCTACTCCTATACAAGAAGAGGAGCAAAGCGACTCCGGTCACTCTTATCTCTCACATGCTCTGACTCCATTTTCTGTCTATGCGACACGGCGTTTCCATGAGCGTCTGGTATGACCAGCTGGTAGGTACGGTGGTTTGCCCGTTCCCGGACACCCCATGTATTGCTTGGACTGATGGGTTGTATGCTGGATTTAAAGTATAATGGACGTCCGCTGAGTAAAAGGCCGTCCATGTGTGCAGGACTGCTGGACAGCATTGATCTCAGCAGCAAAGGAGGGACATATCGAGGTTGTGAGGGAACTGCTGGAGAATAATGCCAACCTGGAGCACAGAGACATGGTGAGAACAGAGAGCGTCACTGGAAAGTGTTTCTTAGTTTAAATTCTGCTTATCTTTCTCTTATTTTTGAAAAATGTATTCTTGTATAAGTTAAAATGCGCTGATAAGACTTGTTGATCGAATGACCGCCTTATATCCCAGTCATAGTTTCTATGAGATGCCGCAGCCCAAGCTCTGCTAAAAAGATTAATCCATTCAGTTGGAAATGGACAGAAAATTAGATTACTCTATGCGTGAGGGCTGCTCTCTAATAGAGAACCCATTTACTGAGCTCTGGTTGTCTTAGCTTTAGGCAGCCATATGATGTGGTCATTTAGTTCAGTTGTGTTCAGAGCCAAACATCCATCTGTTACCAAAGTCTACCAGCCTCACTGCATGTTCATTAAAGCACAAGCGAGAATACATGCAATCATTACCTGAATCACTAGTTAAAAGAGAGTAATACCATTTCTTTGCACTGGTTTTCTGTGGTTACAAGCGACAAAGGAAGTGAACTGACTCATTGTAGTTCCGGGTGTGTCTGAGTTGTACTGTATAAGTCCGAGTCAGTTGGATTATAACAAACCGCATTGTGTGATACTGCTGCCTTCACTGGAAAGTGTGTCATACCTTCCAAAAGTAGAACATTTTCCAACCACATAATCTGCCTGGATTTGATCCTCAAGCATTGAACTTGATCCTCAAACTTAATACTGTTGTTTGGAAGTCATCATGATGAAATGGAACTAAAATGTTTCATTCTTGATGTTTGGCATGTTGGCAGTAATGCTTTGATGTGCCGGAATATTTTCTTTTTCTGATATTTTCTTAGCCATTGAGACCCTCACAAAATAATCTCTCTACTTTTTCCTTTTCAGGGAGGATGGACTGCTCTCATGTGGGCATCTTACAAAGGTCGGACCGATGTGACCGAGCTGCTTTTAGAAAAAGGAGCTAACCCTAACATCACTGGACAGGTGTTGAAACTGAACCCCCATGATCACATTGCTAACATTTGTACTGATATCTGTCTCACTCGTAGTTCTAACTAAACTGAAGAAATGTTTGTCTATTTTATCATGGTAAATTGAAATGTCTCTGGTTTTTGATCAACTGTAAATGTTTGACACTAAAATGCCAGAGTGGTCACAACCCTGCTTGTCAACAACACACAGTCCACACCCCCCCAATTTCCCGCTGCTCAAGGTGGCTTAAAGCATTTGGATGACCGCATGCCTACCACTGGTCATTAGTTACTGTCAGCATGACTTCACCACTTTCCTCTGGCCCAACAGTACAGCGTCTACCCTATCATATGGGCGGCGGGTCGAGGCCATGCAGAGATTGTCCATCTTCTGCTACAGTATGGAGCCAAGGTCAACTGCTCAGACAAGGTAACTATCTACCGACAGATGTTTATCATTTACTTCCTTTTAATCACATAGACGATCTAGGCAGTGGTTAGGGTGTAGTCCACATCCATCTTCCAGCTTCAGGATCAAGTCAGAATCCTCCCTTCTTTATGCATCATCCTTATCATAGCCTTTAGAATTATTTAGAACTTAACTAAAACACATTTGCCCACCCATGTCTCACACAAAGTGTAATCTTTTCTTCTTTTTATCACAGTATGGCACCACTTCTTTGATCTGGGCTGCCAGGAAGGGCCACTACGAAAGTGTGATGCACCTCTTGGCCAATGGAGCTGATGTAGACCAGGAAGGGGCAGTAAGTGGGCTCTCAGTAGCTTTCAGCACATTTAAGTAAAGTCTCGTGTACACAAACAACATAAAATGGGAGTTTTTGCTTCTTGAGAGACTATTTCATCTGGTGTTTATGTTGGATTTTTGTTTAATTTCTTTTGGTTTCTAGTTGTAGTTTATATGATAAAAATAAATTACTTGGAAATTGATCTCTGTTTTTACTGTCAAGCTGTAAGTAGTCAATGTAATTATTAGAGAACAGTTTTTGTTAGCAAGAATGTTTCACCTTTCCGGCGACTTGTGTAATATTACTCACAGCTCTGTTAAATGGACTGTTAAATGTATTATTTAACACAGGACTTTCAGTCATTGACCTCATGTACATTTGAAACAACTGAAATTTAAAACTGGTTGTGATGTAACAATTCGATAAAAAATTGAAAATGTGTTCATTTTTGTGTCAGTGAGTCATAAAGACATTAGTGAACCATAATATTGAATAATTGATTGCGCCCATGATGCGGTGCATCTGTGCTCCTTCGAGTCATGTTGCATCTGTGCTGACACAAGCTGAATGATGTGATTGTTCCACACGTAGCATCAATAATCTGACAGTTTATTTGGAGCTAATGTTGCAGAGACATTAATTTGCTAGTAATTAAGAACCTTGACTGTACATAATAAATTAGTACATAAGCTTTCAGTGTGTCCCTCAGCTGCTAAGGTAAACAGACATTTTTGTAAAACATGAAGTTGTTGCACAGAGATCTTGCTATTGATCCATGAATATATGAACATAAAAAAACAACCAAAAAACACTCCACATGTGCAGATTGTTTCTTTCTTGGGCTTTCCAGAACTCTATGACCGCTCTGATTGTGGCCGTGAAAGGTGGCTTCACAGAAGTTGTCAAGGAACTGCTGAAGAGGAACCCAAATGTTAACATGACAGACAAAGATGGCAACACAGCCCTCGCCATTGCTGCCAAGGAGGGACACACAGAGATTGTGCAGGACTTGCTTGATGCTGGCACCTACGTAAACATCACAGACAGGGTGAGGCGCCGCGTGTCCTCAGAAGTCTGCTGTGTGGCACAAACATTTGATGACATCAAATGCCCTGAAAGTCAAATGAATCCCATGCCACCCTGCCTGAATGTCACCTGTCTCTGTAATTCCTTCTTTCTTTCAGAGTGGGGAAACCATGCTGATAGGAGCAGTGAGAGGAGGTCATGTAGAGGTAGTCCGAGCTCTGTTGAACAAATACGCTGATGTTGACGTCAGGGGCCAGGTAGGCGCCTCTCTCCCGCTGTCTCTGCCATTCAATAATCTTTTTCCTTTTGTTTTACTGGTAAAACAATTTCTAATCCATGGTTTTAGTATTCATTTAAAATTAACCATGAAATATATATATCCAGTATTAAGATGTCTGAGGAGATTAGCGTACTACATTGTGGGCCATTCACCTTTTTTGGCTTTGTCTGGGACATTTTTACTGTTTTTAGAGTTAAATAAGCTTGTGATTGTTTTTTCATGTGACACCAGGATGGAAAGACTGCCCTCTACTGGGCAGTGGAAAAGGGTAATGCCACCATGGTGAGAGACATCCTGCAATGTAACCCCGATACGGAGAGCTGCACCAAGGTACACTCAGTCATTTGTAGATGTTTAGTCTTATCCTGTAAATGCTGTAAATCTTTTACACTTAAAACGTTTGTATTACTTTATTAGATTCAATTACTTACCATAGATATAGTGGCCTGACACTGTTATTGCAGTTTTTGGGAAATTTAGTAATTTACATACCACAAATATTATTTTCATTCTTAAACTGGTGTGTGGAAGGAGAAGTAACATTTTACATGCTTTAACATGTTCTTCTATATGCACGAAAAGTTATTTTATTGAAATGTTTTCTTTGTTTTGTAGGAAGGAGAGACCCCACTTATCAAAGCCACAAAAATGCGGAACATAGAGATAGTGGAACTTTTGCTGGATAAAGGAGCTAAAGTATCAGCTGTGGACAGGGTATTGTTGAACACACAAACCATATCCTGATCCTTTTATCTGTTGAGCAGTGTGTGTGTGCTGGTGATTTTCCTTTTTTTAGAGTAAATCTTCTCAATGTCAGTTGGTCACTTTTGTGTTTTCGTTCACTTAGAAAGGAGACACGGCTCTGCATATTGCAATCCGGGGACGTAGCCGAAAGTTGGCTGAGCTTCTGCTGAGGAACCCTAAAGATGGTCGCCTTTTGTACCGTCCCAACAAAGCTGGAGAAACCCCGTACAACATTGACTGCACTCACCAGAAAAGCATACTGACACAGATATTCGGAGCTAGTATGAATTTTCTTTGCATTTTCTTCTGAAAGTGATTTGAAAATTAGCACATGGATTTAATTTAAAACTATGAAATATCAAGTATTTATTTGAACTTTTTTCATCACTGTTAATCTTTTTTTTTGGAAACCTCTTTGCTTTTCTCTCCTTAGAGCACCTCTCCCCCTCTGAGTCAGATGGGGACATGTTGGGTTATGATCTGTATAGCAGTGCTCTGGCAGACATCCTGAGTGAGCCCACCATGCAGCCGCCTATCTGTGTCGGCTTGTATGCTCAGTGGGGAAGTGGCAAGTCTTTTCTTCTCAAAAAACTTGAGGGTAAGTAATCTTACCTAATCAGAAGATCCTATTTTAAGAGGATTAGCCATTTTCTTAATCTAAATCTTAAGCCATAGTGTTCTTTCTTTCTCCTCATTATACTTACTTAATTCTCTTATTATGTTCATCAGATGAGATGAAGACCTTTGCCGGCCAGCAAATCGAGCCTCTGTTTCAGTTCTCCTGGCTGGTGGTCTTCCTGACTCTGCTTCTCTCCGGCTCAGTGGCTGTGGTATTAGGCTTCACTGTGGATCCTAAATTGGCAATCGCTGTCTCCCTCAGCCTCCTTGCCCTGCTTTACATCTTTTTCGGTGAGGAGACACACAAACTAGAAGTTGCAAGGTTGAAAACAGTTTTTTAGATTTAGCTTTATTTGAATTTATCTAAAGCATCATCATTGGTTGATATTAAATAAGCATCATTTTGGTTTTGAACAAACCTCTCGTGCTCACTAGAGGGTGCCATAATACAGCTAATGTCAACTTTTTAGCTTAAGCCTCTGAATTTTAAGAGTTGATGCTGTTGATACTGAACAAAAATAAAAAATAATTCAAAGAGGTTGCAGATTATAGAAACAAATTTCCTCAGCTGTGTTGACCACATGTGTTTTCCAGTGCTGGTGTACTTTGGAAGCCGACGTGAGAGGGAAAACTGGAACTGGGCGTGGGTCATCAGCACTCATCTGGCTCGTCAGATCGGTTACTTGGAGCTACTGCTCAAACTGATGTTTGTCAACCCACTAGAACTTCCTGAGCAGACCGCCCGTGCCCTCCCTGTCAGGTCCTAAACACGGAACAAAACAAACACCTACTTCAGTTCTCTGCAAATTTATTACAAATCTGCAAATTAAAAATGTGATTTGTAAAATTTAACACAGTCATTAACTGTTGACTTTTTTACAGTTCTTGTACATTGCCAATATTTGTAAATGTTGAAGTTCGTGTGTAACTCAGCAAAACATCTCTCACGTCTCACACAGGTTCTTGTTCACGGATTATAACCGTCTGTCCAGCGTTGGAGGGGAGACCTCTTTGGCCGAGATGATTGCAACGCTGTCAGATGCCTGTGAGAGGGAGTTTGGCTTCCTTGCCACCAGGCTTTTTAGGGTCTTCATGAATGATGAGATCAAAGGTAGCACGGCTGTTTTTTGCGTTACATAGTAATTCTTTAGTTGGCACACAGTATCATTCAAATGTTTTACTGACACTAAAGAGGATATGAAGTTTACCAATGTTGACTGCATAACTGATTGTAAAAACCTCTTGTAAATGTTTGGTACATTGGTCAGATGACACTTGTGTTGATATAGGTGCAGAATTTTTATTTATCTATTTATTAATGTTTGGATGCTTAAATCTAAATGCTGTGTTAAGTACATTTGTGTACCAAGCCAAGTAGCCTGCTGTTTCTTAATTAATTTTCGAAAAATACTGAAATGGGAAGTTTCTAGAAGCCTGGTGTTCTTAGAATTTAACTTTTTTTAAAAAATATCTACCTTAACAGGTCAGAAATGGAAGAAAACATGCTGTGTTCCATCTTTTGTGCTGTTTTCCTTGACACTCTGCTGCCTGATCTCTGGCGTGGCACTGCTGGCTATCTTTAAGGTAAGTTAGAGCAAAGAAGAACACAATCCCACATTATGTAGTGTACGTAGTAGCTACAAATCATTGCTTGCTATCTTTAAAGAGTTTTCTGGGTTATTCAGTGTGGAATATTAGCTGATGTTTACTGAAATCTGTTTTTATGAGTTGTGCGTGCTTATCTTGAAATACTCACAGGTTACCAGATATTTTACATGGCCATATATGAATATGAATAGTATTTGTGTTTGACTGTTTCTTTTAGGTGGACCCTGAGAATCTGACAGTGAACGCAGTACTGATAGCTATGGCAAGCGTGGTAGGACTGGCCTTACTCCTCAACTGTAAGACCTGGTGGCAGGTGGCCGACTCTGTTCTCAACTCTCAGCGGAAGCGTCTGCACAGTGCTGCTAACAACTTGCATAAGCTCAAGAGTGAAGGATTTATGAAGGTAGAATAATGCACTTAAGCAATTGTACCAATCAGCTCTGAATGGAAAGCCTTTGACTTCTTGTTGTCATAGTTAATCGGACATTCCATTTGCTTATGATGTTATGAAGTTGTACTTCTCAATACAATCAATTTTCTTAAGTGGATAAACATTGAAAATGAAATTGCACTGAGTCATTGTGTTTTGAAATGTCTCTCACCAGGTTCTGAAACATGAAGTTGAGATGATAGCAAAAATGGCCAAAACCATTGATGGCTTTACCCAGAACCAGACACGCATGGCTGTCATCATTGATGGGCTAGATGCCTGTGAACAGGACAAAGTCCTGCAGATGCTGGACACAGTAAGTGTTTACATGTTCCAGACGATGTCCAGTTAACTGATGAAAACAGCTTCCTCTTGACTGATGATAACTTAATGGAATAATTGCATTTTTGACACCTGCAACTCAAGAATATTTATTGGCATGGGACACCATGAGACACAGTGCCGAAGAGCAGCTGTGCTATGACCTCAGCTTACATCAGGTCTCTGACCTGTCATTACAGGATGCACACATCCCTGTTGCCACTGCAGTTTTCCCAGTTGCCTTAGATCTCTTCCAGCTTTAGATTCTTCCTCCCAGCTGCTGTAATACAATTTCCTTTGGCTAAATGTTATTATTTGGTGAAGTAATCCCAGAGAAGATGGCAACCTCCTGTGTGCTAATGCAATCTTCTAATCTCTGCAAGCACCTCCCATTCACTCTGAAACCATCTTTTGTCGAGGCTGTTTTATAGACCACTCTAAAATCCATTTTTATGTAGGTTTCTTGTTTACCGCAGTCCAAATTGAATCATGTTTACTGCAGCCTGTGTACATTTCCTCTCATTACATTAAAGTTGCAGACATCATGTGATGGCGCCTTAGCTGATGATGTTTACAGCAGCTTTAGTGTAGGTACGGATCCTTATTGTCCTGTGGGGTGAGCCTGAGGGTGTTTGCCAGAGGTTTACAAACCATGAATGGGTCTAGCACAAATCAATGTCCTGTGACACTTGGACAATGTTCTTTAGTTAGCAGAGAGGAATTCCCCAGCCCCATGTGCTGCAGACAGTCAGCTCTCACAGGAGTCATTAAGTTTAAGCACTACAGCTGACTGTTGCCCCAGGCTGTTTAGTTGTCTACTGATTAGAATGTGAAGTACCCTTTTTGGTACATCGAACTTGTCGAAAGATCTGCTTTGCTATATACTGTTTTATATGACTCAACCAACTCCATTCTTTACAAATATACTTATAGTTTCTTTCTCATCATAGGTGCGGGTCCTCTTCTCCAAGGGTCCCTTTATCTCCATCTTTGCCAGTGATCCCCATATAATCATCAAAGCTATTAACCAAAACCTCAACAGTGTGCTGAGAGACTCAAACATCAATGGACATGACTACATGAGGAATATTGTTCATCTCCCAGTGTTCCTTAACAGCAGAGGACTCAGTACAGCCAAAAAACTTTGCATGGCAGCTCCCACCAATGGAGAGGCTCTCTCCTCTGATGGTAAAATAAGACAGTGAACATGAATATACTTTAAGATGGTTCAGTATTTGAAAGTGTCCAAAATGTTGCTGAATAACTGAGTGGTATTTAGTCCTGTTTCTGACTCTTCTCCCTGTCTCTCTTAAGGATGGCACGAGGACATGGACAGGAAGGTGTCTCAGAGCAGCCTTGCCCCAGACCAGGCGAAGTTTGGCAGCAAGAACACGCTAAACCGAAGGGTAAATTCCACATGGATATTTGTACATGAGGAGTAGCACAGTAGCACTTTTATTTGAAATATTTTTGTGTAGCATGTGCTCTGTTTAAAATAACTCTGTTTTCCTTTAAGTATAAACTAAACAGGCAATGATGAGGACATTTTTCAGTGGTATTTATTCTACAAACCTTGATCATAAAACACTGGGTTTGGGATGGTTTCTGTCTTAGAAAACCCTCATTGCAGCTTAAGTAATGTACAGGCATTACATTGGCATGCACTGGAGAGACCAGAGGAAATAATGGGGACACACATAGATGAAAACAGAGAGGTGCTCGGTGTGAGGCCAAGGTTCCTGGTGTAATTGATGTAATGGCTGTTTATCCTTCCTGCTGTTTTGCCACAGCCTAATGACAAGGCCTAGCAGCAGTGGGTCCCCGTGACAAAACACTGGCACCAGGTCTGCTGGCAGGAGGCTAAGTGACTCTGCTGCTGTCGCTGATGCTTTCCTCCCTCCTGAGAGACCCTCCAACTACCCCCCCCTTCTTCCATCCTTCCTGCTTGTTTGTTTGTTTGACATTTGTTTGTACCTTGGATTTATCTAGTACCCCCAATTATTGGTGTTAGCCCTCTTATTATGGAGCGCTAGTCTCTTTTTTTGTTGCTCACCAGATCTTGGCAGGAGGACCCACTTTCTGAAAGTGGAGATTAGAATGAGAGCCGAAGGGAAAAATGAAGTAGATACATGCCATTTTGATGAAGCTTTTACGGCTGTGTATAGCATTAGTACCTTTACATCTTAATTAGATATATTGGAAATAATGGAACGAATAATTTCTGCTTAAAACCAGCCTTTCTGTCTATCAAAATTACACATTGAAAATATTTATTGAAGTATCTATACAGCTGTGTAAGTCAGTATATAGAATAGTTAGCCACACAGGGTTGTCTGTATGATTAGACTTTTTTGAGTCTGACTGAGTGGAGGCCATATGTTCAGTCTCTCTGAGAAAGAGGTCATGAGACTGGTGTTATCACTTCAAAGTCAACCAAAAGCCTCACGCTGGCTCATGACCATGACAGCTGTCTGATACCATCACAGATGTTCTCCTGTAGATCTGTGTCAATGGTTCGCCTGTGTGTCACGACTTTTCATCTTTTCACGTTAGCTCTTTGGTATCGTCTCTATATTTTGTTTTTATTCATTCGGAGATGGGAAAGATGAAGAGATTGAGAAAAGGGGTCATGAGTACCTTGACTGCTTTTTTTGTGTTTTTAAGAATATGACAAACAAACTTAAGCAATTAATGAATGTAAAGTTTTATGATATATAAGTGGATTGCGTTTTGAGAAACCTGGATGAAACCTAGGGGTTTACGGTCATGAAAGTTTGAGGACTTCCCCCCTTCCGAGTGTATTCCTCAGCCATCTTAAACTTGGCATATTGAGATGACTTGACCTGAGATCACATCATGACCCTGAAATGTCTTATGATACACAGTGTGAGGCAATGACATCATGCACTCAAACTTCTCCTTGGGTCAGCTGTAAATGTGTCTGTGGCTGATGCTTTGTCTTCAGACAACTGAAAGGACTTGAATAGTACATAGGCTTCCTGTAGCCCTATTGGTTTTGGATATATAATGTGATAATTCCTGCTATCAGCCATTAACTGTAGAATTTTAATTATTGAAATTTGTTCAATGCCACTGAAATCAGATGTTTTAATTGAATAATGCAAGTAAAGCTAAATGGATTAATGAACCACCCACCTTGTTCTTATAGAAAATTATGAACATTTATAATCCTGACCTGAAATATGATAATAATTGATAATAATAATAGTTTGTCTGTTAAGGACACATACCGCCGCCGTCAGATGCAGAGAACCATCACCAGACAAATGTCCTTTGACCTGACTAAGCTTCTGGTGACTGAGGACTGGTTCTGTGACATCAGCCCTCAGACTATGAGAAGGCTGCTCAACATTGTTTCTATCACAGGTAAAAGTAGAATTACTGTGATTGAGGTCTCTGAATGCTGTAACAGTAACAGCATTACTGTTTTACTCCTTTTACTTAAAAGTTTAAATGGCCCCTAATGCTCGGCAACCCTTTTGACAGGTCGTTTGTTGCGTGCTAATCACATTATCTTCAACTGGGATCGCCTGGCCTCGTGGATCCACCTGACTGAGGAGTGGCCGTACAGGACATCATGGATCATCCTTTTCTTGGAAGAGGCTGATGGAGTGTCGGATCAGGTCACTCTTAAGACCATTTATGAGAGGTACAGGCTCACAATCATACACCATCATCCATTCATTGTGTTATCAGTTATTTATCTAATGTATCTACTCTTGCATGCCCCTTTATCAACTGAAGGCAACTACTAAAATAAAAGGAAAGATCTTAATAGAAATCCAGTCAAAGAAATTTAGTTTTTGTACAGAAAATATATTAATTTCCTTGGGGAAATGAAGTAGTCAAAACAAAGTAATAACAGTTAATAGTGTTCCCTGTGAATTAGTGATGTCACTGTTACCAGCAGGTGGCAGTAGAGTATTTTTGTAGTTCTTTGGGAACTATGTTAGCTATACACGTTTATTGCCAATGGTTGTTGAATACTATGCTAATTTGGCCACCGTCAGACAGACTTTGTAATGGATGAAAATCTTCAAGCTAGTTGGTGACTGAAATTCTTACTGGACTTATTCAAATGAATGAAGAACCACTTACAAATGTACACGTTACAGTTACAGATCAACCGTGGAGCAGTGAAGGAAAAATTGCATGTCTGTGTGTATGCAGTGTGAAATCTCATGCCCGTCTCAGTGAGATCACAAATGCTTTTAGGCGTGCTCTCCTCTAACAAGAAGAGGAGGCCGACAGAGCCCGAGTCGCTGGGACTGGGTGCTGTTGTGCATCAATCGCTGGCCTTTAAAGGTTGCACTATGTCACAATACACTAGCACCCACGGTTCCTGCGGCAGGGAAGTGTCACACACGGTTACCATCAGCTAGTCAGCCAGCTAGCTTCAGCAGACAGCTCTCCATCCCCCATTCGCAGCACAAACTTCTGCCTCATTAGATTTGTTTTCGCCTTTTTTGTTTCTAAAGGACAAAAAGTATTACCTTTTACTGATCATGGCTATTGGATGTTTAATGGGCCTGTAGGTAGCAAACCATGACTATACGTGTCCAATATTTTCAGTTTGTCTTATTAAATCTTGTAGATTTTTGGAAAACTAGGTCACCAGTCACCAAGTGAACCCAGAGAGGAAATGTCTATATATTTGAATAAATAATGTGGAACAACCTGTGTAACAGAATGACGTGATTGCTCTATAAGATGACCATAAAATTGCATCATATATCTACATGTCTAACAAAGGTCCTTTCCAAAGTCTGAGATGTGGCATTGTGCAGCAGCCTCCTCGTTTGACTCAATATAGCAAACGCCCTGTTTTTGAGTAACTGTGTCCTGTCTTACTTTATCTTCTTCCTTGCTGGTTGTCCAAATGGTTCCCCTGTTCTGCGATGGCCATCGAAGAAACTGCCTTAATGATGATGACAGGAAGCCTCAAACCGACTAAACGCGATGCCTTGTCTTGAGGCTTTATCTCTTGCAATAATCTTCCGCTGATAAGACTCAGGCCTCTGTGTATCTTTTTCTGTCTCCGTTCTTCTGTTCCTCTTTCTTGTGATCTCCGGCTGTTTAGGTCCCTTTTTGCTGTGGAAGAGCTGCTTTCTGTTTTACTGTCTGCGATGCCGACTGCTTGAAGGGCCTGTTTAAATCCTCGGGGTCTTACTCCTTGTGAAATAGACCTCTACTCCTGCTTGCTTTCCTGGTCAGCAGGGTTTATGAATACACATGCACTCTCTTTATGCGCACACTGGCCCATCAAATACATGCTTTCTAAATGTATCTTTGGTTAAAACATAATTTACAATGTGTGTGTATGTGTCTATCAAATTAGTTGTGTTCAGCCAGTTTTAAACAGCGGAACAGCACATCCCTTGAGCATAACTAAGTGAATATATTAGTGGTGAAGTGAACGCGGGGGTGACTCAGCCCCTTATAGGTCAACTGTCGCCCTGCATCTAAGTCACAAGGCAACAAGCTCTTTCCCTCGCCTCCTCTTTGTAAAGCCTAATATGCTACAGTACAGCGATCAGTAGATTCATTATTGCATTGCAGGCGATGTAAATCTTTACACGGATAAGATGGGAACAAATGTTCAATAGTTAAAAATATGCAGTGTGCCTACTGGTAAAAAAAAAAGTGACAATGACTCTCTGTGGTATGTTTAGATAGAAAAAATATAAATACTCCCCCACTTTCTCTTCTGTCTCTCAAAAGCACACAGGCTTTCGAAACAGCTAAAAGCTTTTTTTGGCGAGTTGTTTGGCAATAACAAGCTCTACATGAATGAATGTGAAGTGGCATTGTAAGACGAGGCAGAACAAGTGCAATGCTAATTCCCATTGCAGCAGCGGGTCAGTACAGCCTTTCCAATCTGATGGAGAATGTGTAATCAGTTAATAACCTCAGCAATTTCTATCATTAACATTAAGACCTTGGAAACGTATGTAAGGTAGCACTCTGCAACTAAAATGTCTCCAACTGTAGAAGGCAGTGGCTCACAGTGTTCGAGTGAAACCCATTCAGACAGAGTGTAACTGAAATATTTGAACCGCTTCCTCTGCTGTGAAGAATTACACCTTAAGCAATGAGTCAGCATTACTGCTTGTCTAGTAAGCTGCAAAAAGTGAAGAGAAAACACTAATTCACCTTGGATTAGTCTTCTGATTTGTTACAATGGAACCAATGTAAAAACTTAGATTAATTTGTAACTACTTTTTTTTGTTGTCATTTTTGTTCCTTCATTTTGCTCACAATGAGTTATTGTGATGCTTGTGTGCTAGTAATGTCAACTGTTATGATTTATTGACTCATGTTGAGATAATTGGCTGTTTATGATCTAGGTTAATATTAACAACAATGGATACACACATACAGTATCATCTTGCAGATATTTGAATGAAACCAAGCATAATTAGAAAACTTAGTTTCTAATAGAGAACCTTTAAGAAATGCATGGTAAATCTAAAGTTGTTTCATAGGATAATGGAAGTATCTTTGTAACTGAACAAATAAGAAATAATTAAGACTTGTCCTGTTAAGATATTTCTTATCAGAAAACAGTTAGTGTCAAATATCAAATATCAAAATGCCACCGGTCAGATGATCCTTTTCTTTCTATGTAGTTATGGCTTATCAAAAGTCAGCTTTGTTTAACATTTGTGGGATTTGTTTGAAAAAAAGTGCCCCGGTTATGAGCTTCACATACAGAATTTACAAAATATATAATACAGAATAATAATCCAAGAGGGCGACTTTTGTCAAGCCATCTGAGGCCTTCTTCCTGGATCTGCAGATCCAGTTCTCAGCTCTAGAAAAAGTATTGCTGGTCCACTGAGCAGGTCCCTGCACTGCTCTGACATCTGGTGCCCTGTCTGCGCCAGGATGCCCCCGCTGCACTCAGGAGTGTGTTTCTGGCGCTGCACCTGAATCTTCTGTTCATTACACACCCACACCTTAATACACACAAACCCTTGCATGCCGTACGCTTAGAAACACCCCGACACATGTACACACTAAGATGTTGTAATGCAACTATCAGATGGAGCAATCGTCACTGCAAGCCTTTGCAGCAGAAATAAAACTTGTGTGCGCATGAAAATGTATGTTAATATACTACTTTTGCTATGTGTAACACTGGCTCAGACACACACATTTTTGCACTCACACAGAACTAACTCTCACACCAGTGCATGAACATATGTCACCCCTAACTCCTCTGAGAATCAGTGTAATTAATCAGACCCTGAGATACAGACTGTGTTCAACAAATACACACACTTTCACACAGCGCAGCGAGCGGAACGCAGCACAGAAAATCTTGTCCTTAGAATGCAGTGTTTAACTTGTATTTATGGAAGACTCGATGCATTGGAAGTTTTTTAATTGTTTGGTTACAGCGTCAGAGCTTTACTTCTTCCATGCAATCTGTGATAAAAAAAAACAAAAAACGTTTACAATTTTTATCATCCTTTCATGTCCTTCATTTTGGTGGTGTGGCTCCACAGTCATCCGTTCAGGAACTGGAACCAGGCACTTCTTGTACACTTCAAAACTTTTTTGTCACTAATCGAAATCTGAGTGAACTTGTAGCCCAGCAATTCACTCCTAATTGGAAAGACTCTTTCAAGTACTGGAACATTAAGATCACACTCTCTTCATTCAGTATTACCTTAATTGGCATACTTATTGTAATTTACTTTCAATTATGTGCTGGGCTAAAAGTGCCATTCCAAAATTCAGATTTTTGATTCCCTTTATGCGGGGTCCTTTAGTAATGTCTTTCATAAGAGGCAACAAAATGGTATTGTGTATTCTTTTCTTTTAATGATGACTTCCTAAGTTATTTTTTACTGAAATGCAAAGTCTCTATCTTTGTCTCATAGTCCTTTTTGTTCAATTAAATCTTTGTCCCATATTAGATGTGTGGCAAATACACAAAATACAATTATTTCCCATTTCTCTGTACCGTTTTCTGCCATTGTCTACATGCGGAAAGTTTTCAGTAATGAAGCCATAATCAAACCGATGATTTGATTCCAAAAGGCCTAAATTGTGTGTAAATTTGTGAAGACAGGTGTGAAGTCACCGATGTCTCAATAGAGTTCTGGCTGTATCGCGGCATTAAGCCCACATACCACTGTGCTGCCCAACCACACTGTGGATAAAGACAGACTGAGACGTGTAAAGAAAAAAAAAAGTATGTTTTGTGCAAGATAACAATGGAAAAAGGAGAGGGTTTAAAAAGATAAGAAATTACATTAAGAGAAAGAGAGAAGAAAGAGTGCTGTCTCAGGAGGTAAAAATGAGGTAAAGGAATCAAAGTGCTTGACTGCTATGAATGGAAGCAGATACCAGAGGGATTGCTTCGTGAGAAGTTTGTCATTGGTTGTTAACATCCTGGGAGTATTTTAAGCCTCAGGTGCTGCTGTTGCTCCTAGTGAGACAGTCCAGGTGGCGGACACACACAGATTCATGCACACGTACCCTGGGTCCCATGAGGGGGTTTGTATTTGTGAAACTGGTCCTCTGCTGAATTTCTTTCGGTGTGTGTATGTGTGTTGGTTTGTCCTGTCCTGCCGTTCCTCAATCCCTCAGGTGTTTGCTGGCGGTGAATAAGGCATGAATCACTGTGCGAGCTCCAGCTCCACTCAACCCCTGCTGAGCTGCTTAAAATGTAAAAAA